AATTCCTCTCCTCCATACTGGAGGCAAATGCTTCTATCCAGCCATTCTTTCTATGAGAATAATTGCCTCCATCTGCCTCCATGCCCAGAGAACAAGAAAAAAAAAGACTCAGGTCCCTAGACACCAGAATTCATAAACACCTCCTTTTTCCTTCTCCCCTGGACTGTCTTTATCTTTGGGCCTCTTTGCGTCCTCACTTGTAAAATATTTGGGCTAGATTGGTGAACTCTAAGGGTTTTTCTCTGGTTCTGAAATGTTATGAAGACCGGGATATCAGGACTCTAATTTCCTGTCCTGTTACTAAATAGTTACAGAATTTACATAAATAATTCTCCTATGAAGGACTTTCCAAAGAGAATAACTTTGAGGCCCAAATGCGGTAATGCAGGGACTGAAAAGCTGTTGTCAAAGTTGAAGGTGGTATTTTCCACTTGGGACTTGGCACCGGTGGGTGATGGTTGCCATCTGCCTCTATTTTTCTCCATGCTCTCCTTCCACTTGTCCCTGTGAGCTGGTGCTTTCTCTACCCACTGGTCACTTATTTGCCTTTGTTGGAAGTGCTGGCCTCCCACGTTCTCACTGGGTGGTCAGGAGTTGGACTAATGTTGATGATTAGCAGGCTTAAAATAATTTCAGACTTGTCTTAATTTGGATGGAGGTTGAACTGCAATATACCCCTGGCCTGTTTATGCAAAAAGCCTTTTTGCCAATGATATTAAAGCATATGAGTCAGAGATGAACTTATTTATCTAGGAGCACAGTGTTTTAAAGTTGCTAGAGGAACACCAGTCTTATCCAACAGGACCCTGGGAGTAGAGGCAGAAAGTAGCCTTATTTTGGATGGTGTACACATTGTCTCCAAAGGAGGACCTTCCAGTTGACACTTCAGCCTCTTCAGGATGCTCTAGAGTGGGTGGGGGCCATTTTCCTGACTTTATCTACTTGTGGGACGGGAACAACCCTGAGCTTTGACAACCATATGACAAGATATTAGAAATGACCATTTGCCTTGTCAATTCCTCCAATTGGCCTGAGCATATCCTGTTGGTTAAAAGTCAGGACTTTGTCAATTAGAGATTCTCAAGAAACAGAGTATTAGTTGCTAAGTTAAATTATAATTTTGCAAGGAGAGCTAACCTAGGCATATTGTGAGCTTTGATTGTGTCTAGCAAACTCATCAGTTCAATAGAACTTTTATCTGACTGCTTCTCTGCCGGGAGCTGTGTTTCTCTGGACCAGGATTTTAACCTGGGCTGCTACTAAGTAGTTGAAAAATTTGCATAAGTAATTCTCCTATCGAAGACTTGCCAAGAGAGTAACTGAATGCATCGCAACTATTTCTGTATAAAATGAACTTCCTTCTTCCACCCAAACATTCTCAAACTGTTGATTTCAGACCCTTCATTTTTTACAGGCTGGTCAGGGTGTGTTCTTTGGTTCTTGACTTTTAAAATCAACAGGTAGTATGCATATATACATTAAATATAGGAATAAACAACTATTTTTTCATGTCTATATGTGCAACATGTGTGTCTGTTTGCTCTCATGTGTGTGCATGTGTGTGCATGTGTGTGTGTGTTTAAGTGTATGCGCATGTGTAGATTTGATGTTGATGTTGGAAATGTTCTTTGGTCGCTTCTCCAGTTCTTTTCATTGAAGAAGAGTCTTCAGCTGAACCCAGAGCTCACTGATACAACTAGTCTAGCTAGATGATTTGCCCTGGAATTCCCTGTCTCTGCTTTCGGAGTACCAGGGTTACAGGTAGGCTGCCCACCCCACCTATGGACATGAGTACTGGGGCTTAGAACTCTGGTCTTCACGTTTGCTGCTGACCTGGCAAGCTGTTTAACCACACAGTCTGAAACAGCTAGGTTCACCTGGTCCTTACCGCCAACATCAGTGCTTTATTCATATTAACTCGTTAGCTCTCCCAACAACCAAGATGGGCGTTATTACTATTATTTCCCCCTTTTAAAATGAATGCAGCTATCTGAGGCCTAGACAGATGGAATAGCTGCAGACTACAAATACTCCAAGGCAACTTACAGTCTCTCAGTTTGAATCATGGGTAATCTCCTTACGGTTCCTTCAGCAAAGAGATCTTGCTTGGCCACCCCAACAATTCCCCCAGTCTGAGACTCTGCTAGAGTCCCTATGCCCTCTTTTTCCCTCCTGCCACCCTTTTTAATACAGCTGGGTCAGGCATGCCCAAGGCCTCGAAGGAACTGGACAATAATTCCTCATTCGGTTTCAGTGTTATGGAATTTGGAAGCAACTCCCAGTCTGGAAATTTTGCTTTTTGGTGTCTTTTCCTTGTAGTGTAGTTGGAAGAAAAAGCTGAGGACCCTGGGGAGAAAGGAGTTGTGTTTGGTTCTGTGGGCCTGGCCAGGACCCATGTGCACATAGGGAGACAATGGGCATACTGAGTAAGAATGTGGCCTGTGGACCCCTGGGCCCTGAGGTCAGATTGTATCCCCTGAAACAAAGCTCTGGGCTTTGCTTTTTTATTCATGTGTCCCATTCTGCCCTAGTAACCTTAGGCGGAACTCTGCATACCCTGGGAACGGGGCTCTCAAACATCTTGGTTCTCTGCAGCATGCTCCACCATAATGTCCCTCCTACAACATGCAACATCTGGCCTGAGGCGTGGCCTTGGATGTTGCCTGGTGCACAGTCCTCATGTGAGAGCCTCAGTTTAGGAGTGAGTCAGCTTGGCATCTCAGCCCTTGGGACAGTTCCCTAGAGGTGACTGCTGGCCAAAGTAGAGAAAGCAGCCAGCCAGATCCCATTAGTTCCATTTAAATGCTGCCCCTGGATAGGAATGAGCTCTAGAAAGCGTCCCCTGCAGGGCTTATGTGAGCTGCAGGTGAAGCCAAGTTTCCAGAGGCACTTTCCACCCACACTTGTGGAGGTTACTAGAGGAGGTCTGGCCTGTGGGGAGACACCTGGCAGGTATTGCTGGTATGCCTGGGAACAAAATAACTGCTATGACCACTCCATAGAAGCCTTCACCACATTCCAGATAAATAGTTATTACCCACATTACATGGAGAAGGCTCAAAGAATTAGGAATGTGCCTTATCTGTAACTGGCTAGACTAGGATTCAATCCCTGGCCTGTCTTGATTTCTTTCTATCCTATCATTGACTTCATTGGGAAGTAGTGCTACCAAGTCTGGGCTGTTGATGTGGGTGAGCATCTTGATGTTATCGTACTATAAGATGAAGAAGAAGCATAGTGTGGCTCGGGTTCCGTGCACTAGGCCGTGTCCCTGCAGAGATGTGAGCGAGTGCTCCATTTGACAGCATCCATGGCAGGAACAAGAGACTATTTTATTCTGCCTTGGTAGCTGTGGACAGGCTCAGGGTGAAACAACTTGTTTTGGGGGAAAATTGTAGTGTTTGATACACACATAAGTTTGCAATACTTTCCATAGCTTTTTTTTTGCCCTAGAAGTAACATCTGGATCCCACCCAGGCTGCCAGATTGTCCTGCCACTATCTCTATACCTCTGTGCAGTTGCTGCCTGGCCTCAATTACAATATGTCCTTGATCCCAAGTGGCACATTTTTTTCACACTTTAATATCTTTGCAATTGGCACACATCTTGTCATTGAGATATACACTTAATGCAGCATGACCTTTTAAATTGATGTTGTATTTTAGAGTCGATTGGAGCCTGAGAATGGAGGAAATATGAGAATCCATGCCTTCCCTCAACCCATCAGTCACTTGCAATAGATGTCAGCCTCCTACTAGATTCTGGGGACTCTGAAATAATTACTTTGCAGTCCTTGAAATTATAATCTGGAGTTGCAAGATGAACCCGTCAGATGAACAACAGCTCGAGCTCACTAGCTTGTCATGGGAAGAGTTCTGAATTTGAGGAAGGGTTTGAAGAAACTGAGACTGGCTTTGAGGAGAAGGTGTATCATGAAGGGATTAGGAGAAGGTTGGGAGTAGGTGACCTGAGATGGTTTTGCGTAGAAACTGAGTGGTTGGGGCCAACAAAGGCCAGGACCAAGAGAAATGAGGCTGTGTTTGGGAACATCAAAGGGCTCATTGTGGCCAAAGTGGAGGGAGTTTGTGAGGCCTTGGGTGTAAAAATGACACCAGGAAGATGGGCACGGACAGATTGGTAGGGAGCTTTAAGTATCATGGAGATGAGTTTAATCTTTATCTCCAGGCCAAAAGCAAACCATTGAGGACTTTTACACGAGGCAAACTGTTTGGACAGGTGGTTGGTAACTCTGCAGAGAACAGATGGGAAGAGGACAGTGGGTAGCGGGGGAGAAGGTGGGTAAGGTAACAGCTGTTGGAGGAGAAAGAAAGCTACTCTGGAAGATTAAAAGAAAGTCTCGCTTTAATTAACCATTCCCAGAAAGCCAGCTCTGATCCTGCAGGCTTGAAGATCACCCTGTGGTACAGCAGGACTTCTGACAGAAGATCCTGCGGGCACCAGGGGGCTCTGTCCTTGTCTTGGGAGAGCTGTGTTCTCACCAGGCAGGCTTGTGTTGCTTATGCCACTGTGTTGCCTATGAGGAAATTTAGGATTTGTCTCTACTTGTTCAAGAAAGGCCCTGTCAATCCCTAATGGTGACATTCCTGCAGATGCTTGCCAAATTGGTTCTCTGCTCAGTCTGACTTACAGTTGGATGGGAGCATATGCCAGCTCTGAGGAAAAGTAAAGGTACTGGAGTAAGGTATCACAGGGTAACCACAGTAGACCTTTCCCCATAGGCTGGCAGATGTTAAGTCTTTGGAGTCGTAAGAAAGAAGCAGGTAATTGCTGTGGTTGTACACAGGGGCCATAAAGCAACAATGACACCGATGCTGAATCTGTGTGACTGTTCTACCTGTGAGAGATGTTCTGGGATGGATGTGGGAGTGGGAGGTGGAAGGAGACGTTCTGATGTATGGCTGCTTGAGAAAGGGGTGAGGGCGTGATTGAATGTGACCTGAGACTTACAATTCTCCTCCTTGTCCACTTCTCTGAACAGGTGCAGTGCCATACTTACACGGGGTACTGCTGGTGTGTCACCCCAGATGGGAAGCCCATCAGCGGCTCTTCTGTGCAGAATAAAACTCCTGTATGTTCAGGTACCGTAGGAAGGGGTGGGAGGAACGAAAAGGGCTGAATGGAAAATGCTGGTAGGGCTTGAATCTTACAGGCACATCTTTAACGGGTTGGTGTGGTAAATGAGCCCTTTCCCAGGTCAGAAGGGTGCCACCCTATGCTTGCTCTGCCATCAGCTCGATGAAGAATGTTCATCAGTGACTGCATGTGTATGTCTGCTTACTCTGAGTTATATACATTTATGTCCAGTGCTCTTTCCCTAAGCATTGGCTACAGTACCTTAGATCTGACATGGCATACATCTAGGATTTTTGTTGTTGTTTGCTGCCTGTAGTAGGCCTGGAAGTGCATTATTGGTATTGATTTTGAAGTTGAATGAGAGTTCAACACCAAAGGCTTCAGTGATTTATTAGTGATGTCTGTCATGGACAAGAGGCAAGGAGAGTATTAGCTTCTCTCTGACATCTTTGCCATCCTTGAATAGTATAATGAACAGAAATGGAAGATTGTTATTTTTTTTTAGTGGCACTGCTGTAGGATTCTTTTTTCCATTTTTAAATTTTTATTTTTATTTTTTATTAAAATTTTATTATTAAATTTAAATTCAAATTAGAAACAAGGTTTCTTCACATGTCAATCTCATGTCCCTCTCCCTTTCCCTCCCCTCCTCCCACCATCCACCCAATACCCCCTCCTTTCCCCAGGGAGGGTGAGTTCTTCCATGGGGGTGTCCATAGTCTGTCATTTCATCCAGGACAGGGCCTAACCTCCCCCAAGAGTCCAGGGTGGGAGTGCATCTCTCATTGTGGGATGGGCACCCAATGTCCATTTGTATGCCAGGAATAAATACTGGTCAACTACCAAAGGCCCCATGGATTGCCTAGGCCTCGTCACTGACACCCCCATTCAGGGGGTCTTGATCAGCCCCATGCTGGATTCCCAGGCATCAGCCTGGGAGGAAGGTTGTTTTAACAGTGAATCGTATGTCTGGCTGGTCATCTGCAGTGCCTGGGAGACTAAACAGACTCCAAGTGCCAAAGCTTCTCTTTGAATATTCTGACTAGTAGGTACTAAATCTGGAATGAACCTGGAATCCTTTGTTTTTATGAAGCTTTTCTGATAATTAGACAAGCTTGATAATGATCCATTGGGTGGATTCGTAACAAAGATTGCGTTTTCTACTCCCAAATTTGTAAGCTTACAGTTTGCTGTTAGGTCAGTTTTGTGGGATTATGGGGTATGGATTCACATGTTTCCCTCTCATTAGTAACTCTCTTAAGGTCACCCTTAAAACAGCCAGTCTCAAGCCATCTACTGTGTATAGGGGTTACATCTTTACTTATCCCCAATTCTAAGTGCAAGCAAAGTGTAAAACGTTATGCTAAAACCTAGTTCCAAAGGCCTTCAGTCCACATTAACTTTTCCATGATTTTTAAATTTTTAAAATAAAATTTGTTCTCTTTAAAAGAAAACCCTGGCCCCTATGTTTAAAAAGGAAAGTAAGCGGCACGGGTAATAACAATGTATATAAGAAGGTATGTTAGGGAACAAAATTTACAGGCCAAAAGGGAAGTTTACTTTATTTGTGGTTTATACAGAAACTGGAAACCTTAATTGGGTTAGGGTGAGGAGGGGCAGGACTTGGCCCTCCTTGCAAATGACCTGGAAGGCTTCATTTAGAGCAAACAAATGCATTAGACACAAGCCCTGAGCAGAATAAGATAACAGAATTCTCACAGAACTAATATATGGAGAAGGAGTGTAATATGGGTTAGGAAAGTCAGAATTCTCAGGATCTCTTCAGAGTTCTTTCTGTGGAGTGCGTTTTCCCCTGCACATGTGACATGTTTGGCTTTAAGGAGAAGGCAGGTGTCACAGCACCAGGCCTGAATGATGTGTGCATGTGGCATCCCAGAGGAGATGGGGCAAATGTTTGGCCAGCATACAGGTTGCCCCCTCCTTGAAGAACAGGCTGTGCCTAGAAAATTGTTTCCATGCCTCAGACTGTTTGGCCCATTCAGTACAATTGGGCCAACAATTTTCTACTTAACGCAGATGGAAAATCACCCATTTCCTGCCCTGACCAGCAAGGGATGTCAATCACTGCATTTTCAGTAAGAGGGGGTTTCTTTTTAGTTGGCCCTGGTGACTGGATGTGGGTCAGAGCATGGAGCTGTTGAGAAGAGGAGGTGTGCAGAGGTATATGTGGGGGACAAATACCGGAATGTTTGAGTTACATGGATGTGGAATTTTATAAAAACCCAGTCAAGATTGGTTCCAGGGAACCTGGAAATCATAGTTCATCTCAAAACAGTCTGGGTTATCAGTGACATTGATGTTAAACAAACCCCACTTGACATGCACATGCACACTAACTGTGTATATAATATCCTGATGTGTATACAATACATATATACATGACCATGTGCTCATAGCATCAGGCTTTGCCAAGTGTTTGATGGAAACCAACCACAGTACGATCTGAATGTTATGCTTCTGTCTCCTCTCTCCCCAAGGTCCAGTCACTGACAAGCCCTTGAGCCAGGGTAATTCAGGAAGGAAAGGTGAGTGGAGTTTTATGCTTTGTCTAAATGTTTGCTTCAAAAGCCAGGGGTTCTTAGCTGAGAGAGCAGGAGCCTGGGGTGAAAACTAAACATTCTTCACATTTCCAGTTTCCTCACTGAAGCACTAGAGGTAAGGATGGCCCAGACAGTGGTGATGACCCAGCTGTCATTGTTTCTGAGGAAGGAGCGAGAGTGTGGGACAGAGTTGGGTAAGGACCCTGACGTGAGCCCCATGGATCTCTGCTCTCTGGGAAGTTCAGTCAGACAATTACCAACATGGGCAGCATTCGCCCAAAGAGGAGGATTGAGGTAGAGTACTCACATCTACCCTTGGTCCTCCTGTGTGTAAACTGAGTGTCCTCCCCTGCCATGACCTTGATAGTGTTCTAGTACATCTAGAGTCTCTTCCTGAGGCCAGGCTGACTTCTTGGGTATGTGGTCAGTGCAGTTGACATCAGGGGCAGGGGAGACACATGTCCTATGAGTGTCTGCTGCCAGGCCTTGTTACCCTCAAAGCATCACATAGTCTGTGTGATGCTACCATTTGGCTCCCATAGCAAGCTTAAGGTTTTTATTCTTTTGTTTAAATCTAGAACACTAAACAGCAATGTAAATACTACCATTGCACATCAAGAGAGAGAGAGGGAGGGAGGGAGCATAGGGAAGGGGAGGGAGAGACTGTGGCAGTGAGGAGGGGGAGGGAGAGACTGTGGCAGAGAGGGTAAAGCTTTCTATTTTAAGCTTCTAATGACAACTTTTGCCCCCTCCTTTTAACAAAAGACACACCTATTTTATATAGCTGGTATTTGTCTGAGGGCTGTTAGTGAACCCTGGCATGCAGATCTAGTCCCTGAGGTATGTGATTCATCCTTTCTGGCTTGGAAGACAGTGCGAGGCCTAGGGCTCATAATCACTAGCTCCTGGGACAGCACACACAGTGACCAGGAAAGCGGCTGGCTCTCCATTTTGTCTCAAGAGTGGGTGTGGCTAAAGTTCCCTCTACCTCAGGCTGAATTTGAGGCTTCTCATCTGCCTAGGCTCTTGAAACTGCATGCTCATAAGAGTCCCTGGTGGGGAGGGTACCATGAATCAGTGCAGAGTTCGCCATGTGCTACACACAGTCACATGGAGACCAGGGCAGCCACTGGCTTCTGCCACATCGCGGAGGGTGGGAGTGAAGGACCAGAGGAACTGTTGTCCTGAGATGTGGCCCTCCAAGAAGTGGAAGGTGGTCTCACCCGACTAAAACAGTGGGCCCACAGGTGAGTGGCTTCTCCCCCCCCCCCCCCCAAGAAGGAAGGTGGGAAGAAGGGAGCAGATACCTTTCCACGTCCTTCCCAGAGTTGGGAATGCAACCAGGACTGCTATGGTGGGAAAGTGGGGATGGGGACAGGGATGTCTCTGTAGAGGCCTGAAGTCACCAGGGCTTTTGGTGGCATGTGCCCAGAGGGTTGACTTTCATTCCACTTGCTGCAGGATGGAATGCTTCAGGAGCCTCTCCTTTGTTTCTGGGTGTGAGGACCTTTTGGCAGAGAAAGCCTGTTAACATCATCAGAAGTGATGCTTCCCAGCAGAAGGAATGGGGGGCGGGGTGGTGGTGGTGGTGGTGGTGGTGGTGGTGGTGGTGGTGGTGGTGGTAGGTGTTTATAGAGCACGGGCTTTGGACAGGCTGGTTGAGAGTTTGCATTCTTTTCTGGATAGCAAAGGGCTCTCCTAGTAGCTGTGGCCTTGCCCCCCACAGGTAACAGTGATGGATAGCTTGTGGTCACCCCGCTTCCTATTGAGCCAGCTAGACAAGGGACAGGTGAACTGCAGATGACATTTTGGTAGATAGCAGTGAATAGCCTTTGTCCCCTCTTAGCCCAACCAGCTTCAGCCAGGAGGGATTAGGAGCCTGACTCCTGCAGGGTAATGCAAAGAATGAAGCCTCCCCCCCTAGGGAATTTTTCTCAACCTTCCTAATGCTGCGTCCCTTTAATACAGTTCCCCAGCCATAAAATTATTTCATTGCTACTCCATAACTGTAATTTTGCTACTGTTATGGTTGCAATTTAAATATCTGGTATATAGGGTGTCTTATTTGTGACCTTCAAAGGGTTGTGACCCACAGGTTGAGAATTGGAGCTCTTTGCTTCCTTGTCCTGATGGCTGGCCTACTTCCTCCCTCAGGGTTCTGTGGAGGGAAAGGACAGGATGAGTGGGGGGTGGCTGGGTGGGTGGTGTGTGTTTGGTCTCAGTCTCCCCTGGAGATCTGAACTCTGCCCAGGGGTCTCATTTTCCCTCCACTTGGAGGATCAGTTTAGGTGCAGGATCCTCTTTTCTTTGGCCACCTGTAGGAAAGGCCACTTGAAGTCACACCTGCCTAGGAAGCCAGAGTTTGAATGGGGACAGAGTGTGAGAGGGCGTTTGTAATATCCTGTGTCAACCTGCAGAGGTTCCTCTTTCAGCTTCACTTAAGAATGGAATGCGCTCTGCAGGGCAGCAGGTGGGACCACACAAAGGCCCCTTGTCTGAGCTCATGCCCACATGTGCCTTCTCCCGGAAGGCATCTCTCTAGAGCTGGGCCTCGCCAGCTAAATGATGTTGGCCTGGCCCCTGGGAGTGCAAAGAGTGTGGCTGGAAAGGAGGTGCGGCCGTAGGCCTGTGGGTGCGAGGGATGTGTGTGCAAGGCAGGGATGGGACCCCGCTTCTCTCTTCCCCTGACGCTCTAGCCTTGTTGAGTATGCCCCACTGATGGGCTGGGAAGGATCAGTTCTCTCTGCCTGGAACGAATGAAAAGACGTATTGTGGTATTGTGCGACCGACCGACCGCTCAGAGTCTGGTCGCCAGCCAGGAATTAGGCCTTGGGAGGAAAGGAGGAGAAAGGCCGAGTGCAGGGAGCTGGGGCTGGAAGACCAGAGAGATAGCAGAGGGGGGAGGCCAGCGGCAGCAGGTCACTGCTGCATGGCCAGGCTGGGGGGTCTGGGTTGCTGTGGTTCCTGGGTTCACAGGTGTGGGGCCCGAGGGAAGAAGTGGGGGAGGGGGCACTGCTATCTTCCCCAGATGCACGTGCACCAGGAGGGGAGGAGGGTCACAACGTCAGACTATTTACTTAATCCCCTGGAATGTCCTCTCTTTGCTCTGTTCTTTGTGCCCCTTGCGTTTAACCGACTCCTTTATGGGCACATGTGTGGTAATTAACACATGCAGTGTAGGTCCTGGGCCATGTGTTTGAGTTTCAAATATCCATTGATCTGGGGCAATCCCATCCTGCTGCCCCCTCCTCTTCTCTGGTCCTGGTCCTTGAAGACAGATGGGGGTGGGGTGTGTGTCTGGGGGTTGGTGCACATATGCGCTCACATGTGCTTTATGCATGCCATGGAGGCATATCTGAAGGAAGGAAGAGGACCCCAGGCACGCAGTCCCTCTACCTCTGAGGCTCTACTGCTTTAAACAGTTAGAGGCTGTGGGAGTTGCGAGATGGGTTAGTTTGGGGTTCTCATTGGTGTAACCCAAGGAGCAGTGCCCGGGAAGCAGGCTGTGTTTCCTGGCCACCGACTGATCTGGAGTTGCTTGTGTGGAAACCTGTGGGCTTTCCTGACCTATCCCTTTTGTGGCTGAGATGGGAAGAGCTCTAGGTGAACTTGCAGGGGGCTGCCGGGCTACACTACCTGTGAGGTCCCAGGATGACAATTCTCAACCTCCCGGAGGGAACTGGCCAGTGATAAAGAATGGTGGATGGCAGGACCCCAGGCAACACGTGCATGGTGATTTTTAGTGGTTCTCAGGAGAGTCACCCCCCACCCCCCCAGGCTCAGCATCACACAGTCCTTAGGGTTGATGCTGTGCCAAACAGCAAGGGAAAACTGAAGGTCATCAGAGAAAGCTTCCTCAATGTTCTTAGTTTCCTGTAAGAGGTCTGGGAGTTTGCTGTTTAAAGAATTCGAGAAAGAAACAAGACCATGGAGGTTCTCTGCTTCGGTTTTCCTTTAAGGACTTCTGTGTTTGTTAAGTCAGTCTCAGAACAGGGTAGAGCTCCCAAAGCCTGCCTCACCTTTAAATTGTCAGAGCATTCTTTTTAATCCCTTACTGGCCACTCCACAGTAAAGAGTAAAGAGTGAGTCACATTTATTTCCCCAAGGTCTCTGCATATGTCTCCATTTTTAGATGCTCTTGTGGGGTCTGGTCTGCAGAATGGTGCTGTCCTGGGACCTGTGCCCCTCAAGAGGTGGGTCAGAACGCACTGATGGGTGATCTAGGGCAGGGGCGATAGGTTGCAAGTATTCTAGGTAAAAGGGACTCTGCAGCCTCCAGTCTTGGCCTCACAGTTGGGGGCAAGGGTGGTGAGCATACCTTCAGGAGGAGCGCTCCAGTGCCCTGAGCCTGGCTGAGGGGTTCCAGGTTAACTGTCCAGGGTTACCCTACAAATGAAGCATCATCCTTGTGCACATGATTTTTAACCTGTACTGCATCTGAGTGGACACAGGCAACGGGTGATCTGCATACATCAATTTTAATACCATCCTGCTGAAGAGAACTATGCCTCCTCATCTCCAGTGTGGGGGAAGCAGCTCTTGGCTGTCTGTTGCTGCTGTGTGCTGTGCTCTATGCTGCCTTAGCAGAGCTGGACACATTAAATACCAGCTTCACAGAGCTCAGTTTCAGATGGTGTGCACAAGTGAGCATGAATGGCCATGCACATACAATGTCTGTCTCTTTTCTATAGTTGGCCCCGGCCTCGCCCCCTGCCCCATAGCTCAGTCCGTGCTCCAGATGACTGAAGGAGAGCTGTGTGAGCAGGACTAGGCTGGATCTGAACCCTGTCATAGCACATTTTCAAGGACTGGAAAGGAAACGGGACTTAGGGATCCGAAAGGGCTTTACAATCAAATGAGTATTTCAGTCCTTGGTGATAATAGTAACTTGAAATTTATGCTTCTTCTATTGGGTAAGCAATAAAAAGACTGGTGTTTGTTAGAGCCACTGAGCTATAGTCATGAGGAAGATGTTAAGAACTTTG